AAGAGCAATTGTCTCATCGCCCCTCTGCAGCCTCACATTGGCACTACCGGCACTACCCTGTCATCTCGACATCTCAGCTTTCCTCACATGGCTTCTGTTTCAGAAAGCCAAGGGCTTGGCTTGAACTCTCCCGTCAGGACGACCAAGTACTCGTCGCAATCCACCATCTGAGGCTCCTGATGCTTTGATGCTTCGTACTGCGAAGTACGTTGCATACAAAACAAAAACTCCACCACACATAACACCATTACGGGTCCACTTGTCCACAACAAAAACACACTCCATCTGGCTTGTGCTCAGCTATGTCACTTACCGTTCGGGCTACACGTGAGCAGGCTGGGCTAAAAATTCGCAGACCACTGACCATTTGTCTACAGCAGTAGCCTGCCTGTCAAACTTCTAGCAACACCCGAATTGGCAACCGAGCCTTCCCAGACGGGCGAGAGCGCGCGACGCGAAGTCCCCTGGCATTGTTCAATGCACGGTACACTTCAGCATGCTTAGCCAGGATCGTCTACACCACTTTGCTTTGAGCCCAGCATAGTAACCTAGCAGCGCCTCTGTGGTGGGATGATATTTCACGCTTGTTCACGTGCAGCCAAGCTGCCCAAGGATGTGTCATGAAAAGTATACGACCGCACGCACCAGCAGTTCAGCACAACATATTGACACAGATGTTTAGTGCTGCGTGCACACGCGCATGGGGTAGCTTGCCTTGGACGGTCATCCTGAAAAATCTGCGAGTCACTATCTGACGATGTCTGACCGTTACGTTGCTGGCAGAGCTTTGAGGCTCTGAGCTTTTCCAAGAGCGCCAGTGAACCCACGTTTGAATTGCTGCTGCCACGTTCAGCTTGGGCGGTTGATAAACTGCTGGCCTGTGAAACATCGACTTTGCAACCGACGCGGCAGCTGTTGGCGTTTGGTGCATCCTCTACCTTGCTTGGACGGGTAGTACATGACGCATCAAATACGTACGACAGCCGCAGCACGCCCGCCATTGAAGCCCGCTTAACGAATGTGTTCTTGCATCTTGCACGCAACGAGCCATGCAAATCCCTTTCTCTCGTTGCATTGGCAGCCCAAGATGTTACACCTTGACCGTCTCTTGGGTGCACGCACAAATGTGTCGTTCATGGCGGGGAGCTTGCACTTGCGCCACGCAATCCTGGTCACAGAGACCCTTTCACTGATTAAGACTCAAAATAGCCACACACACCAACAAGGGTAGACACCCCCCGAACTTGAACTGCACTTGTAGGTCCGCATGTTGCTGTTTAACTCAGAAGAACCAGGACTGCAACCAGAGTAGGACAGGGTAACCTGCACGGCGACACGCAAGGGGATTATGGGTAGGGCTACACTTTGCTGTGCACGTGAACCGTGCAATGCTTGCTCATAGTATGGCCTTTTCGAGCTTCTAGATAAGGTGATCTGCGCAACTTGTTGCTCGAACCTGTACAGAAGTGCTGCGAATATGGATTCTAGACAAACTGCTCTTTAGCCAAGGGTCCGTGAATCAGTGGTTCATGCAACGACTAAGCCTCTCCGTAAATAACCCTGTATCGGCTTCCGACACTTTGCAATGTCTAATTCAGGCTGAAAAGGGTTCGTGCACCAAAAAGAAGAAGTCGAGCACCAGCATTAATCCAGGATTCGCGCACTGCAATCGACGGATTCACGCACCATGGACTCGCACACCAAGAATTCGCGCACCAACGCATTCGCGGACTCAAAAGGTCCATGGATCCGTTCACCATGGATTCGCGCACAGGCCCGGAGATTCGCGCATTTGCACTCTGGCCTGGGAACGAACTCACGCAAATTGAAAGGATTCGAGCACCACAGTACTTCAGGAAGTTTAGGGTTGAGGTTGGTGGGTTCCAGGCCCGGGGGGCGCTTTGAGGTTTAGTTGTTTAGACGTTGGGGGTGTTCAGGGTTTAGGGCTTGGGAGTGTGTTGGGTTAAGGGTTTCGTGTATCCCTTTGTGGTGTTCAACAACCTCCACGCGACTTCCAACCCTAAACGCTAAACGAACAAACCCTTAAAAACCCTCAACCTCAAAAAACAAATCCCTGAAAAAACATAAATCAAAACCCCAAACGCTTAAAACCCCACAACCCTAAACACTCTCAACCCTTAAACAACAAGCTCAAAAAAACTAAATCCTAAACACCCTAAACCCTCAAGTCCCTAAACCCTAAACACGCTAAATCCGGAAAACCTTCAACCCTAAGAATCCTAAACTTAAACCCTAAAACTCTAAACCCTAACAACCCTAAACCCTAGCTGCAAATCCTAAAACCCAGACACCCTAGAGTGAAAAAAACCCTCAACCCTAAAAACCACAAACCTTAACAACCATAAAACCCTCAAACCCTGAAGCCTGAAAACGTTAAAACCCTAGACCCTCGAAACCCTAAACCCCAAAAGCCCTAAACCCCAAACCCGAAAAGCCCTAAACCCCAAAACCTCTAAACACTAAAAACACCCTAAACCCTAATAAACCATCGCCTAAAAACCCTGCAAACCCTAATCCAGGTTAAGGGTCACTTAACTTGCCTTTCTGAAAATTGTGGAAACCCGGGGCTGGAGGACCATAAACTTAAACCCTGACCCAAACACCAAAGTCCCACAACCCTTAACACCCCAAAAGCCCTAACCCCTTCACGACCCCAAACCCTACACCCTAAAACTGCCAAACCCTAAGCTCGAAATCCTACACACACCTCCAAACCCTAAGGGCACCCCCAGGCCCTAGACCCTAGTACCACTACTGCATGTAACTGGGCTTTGCACGAGCTTGAATCGCAGGGGTTTGGTATTTTAACCGGAATGGCGTGGCGCTGGAATCGAAGCCTTTTTGGTGCGCGAATCGGGCTGTGTTGGTGCTTGAGGGACCATTGTTGCGCCAAGCGCCGTACACCGAGGAGGGCCGACAGCAGTGGTAGTAGCGCGACTAGCTGTACGAGCTCGGAGCAGGAGTGTTACTTACTTTGCAGGTGTAGTATATGTATTTTGTTGTGGAATTGTTGTAGCTGTAGCAGTCGTGTAACCCCCAGCTACGCCGGACCATCCTCAGAGCCTCCCAGGCCAGCCTCTGCCTATCCCAGAACCCCTAACACGAATGTTAGGATACGTAGGAGCCGCAGATCTGTTGTACAAGAATGGGCCTGGGAATTCCTTTCCAGATTATGAAATGACCAAGGCAGTCTATATACTGCTGCCTTCAGACACTCCAGCTCAGCGGCAGCAGCGTTAAATAGACGGTGGTGGCCAGTGCAGCGCATGCAGGCCAAAACTAGTTTACCATCGCAACAGGCCCGATTTGGTCAGCATTTGGATGTTCATTGAATTCTGGAGCTCGGGGATTTCGCATCACAGACCTCCAAAGCCTTAATGTTATGGAAATGGGCCCTGGCCTTTTGGCCAGACAGTACTGCTCTAGCACTGAAGTGGCTCAGGCATGGAAGTGGCGCTGGAGGTTGCACGGAGAGCTGTCTCTTTGAGCGGTCGCTTCATTCAGAGTGCCGCTGTTGGCTGGGCAGTGGACCTAGTGCCAGCTGCAGGACGCACAGACACTACCACTCTTCAACTCTGGTTCTCTGCTGTAGAATCGGAACTTGGTCTCGCCTGCTTTGGGCTTTGTAGTGCCAGAAAATGGAATAGGTGATAGATTTAAACAAGCTATGCTTTCGAACTCCTGATTGAAAGCTTTACACGTGCACTCGGCTTTCGCTGTGGTAGCAAACCCTGTGCCTTCCTGCCGCTGAGCCGGAGACCCCTCCTGTATGAGCTAAATGTGCAGGAATTGGCCTGGAAGAACCCTCCTTGCTGGACGAGGACTGCGTGATGCCAAGAAACTCGGCAAACGACAACCTTATGAAGAGGAGGCTGGCGTGCCGCGGTGAAAGTGTAGCTGAGCATGTGACGAGGCAGCAGAAACAGCATCTGTCGCCTCCAAGGCATGGTAGGACAGATTGAGGTATGGGAGTTGCCTAAACCATGCGTTTCTTTTGCAGTCCACTGTTATGATGACAGCCGAATTCCTAAGTCAGACATGTGTCCCCTGCAGAGTGCTCCACCTTCCTCCGGCGATGAGGAGCCTCGACTCGATCTCGCTCCTGCGATTTAGAGAAGCCTCTAATATAGAGACATTTACCCTTCTTAAGGCTGGACAGGTCCCGGTCCCTTAGCTCCTTCTGGTCGACTCGGGCCTTGATGCTGTCAACTCGAGAGCTCATGTCTGCCACCAAGGACCTGCATCAGCACACGAAACCCAAAGAATTGCCAGAGACCTGGCAAGAGGGGTTTGCCTGAGACTCTCCTGTGCAGGTGCTGTCATCGCCACCTCGCAGCAAGAAGATCAGCAGCGATAGCATTCCCTGGCTTTTCTCACTGCTGGATACTGCTGGTGCCAGTGCCTGCTTGACATCCTCGGCCATGTCCAGGTCCTCGTAGTCAAACATGGCCGAGGCCGCCTGCTTTTGGCCAAGAAGATATGCTTTTGGCTCCGCTCCGGAAAGATCCGGAAAGCGTTTCTGTCCATCTGGTGACTAAAGCTGACCCTTCCCTGAACTCTCCTCCCTTCAACTACTCTACTGTCTTCCCCATCCAGCCCACAAATGCAAATGCTTGAAAGCTGCCAGCCTGACGCGCAGATAGGCCTCGTGCCTGCTCACGTGTTCTTAGTGCTCTTGCTTCTTACGAGTTGCGCAGCGCCAGCCAGCCTTCTGCCACGATCCCAGACAAGAAAGTCCAGTGAGAGTTTGAGAATGCTGGGCCTAGCTATTGGAGCGAAGAGCGCAAAGTGGTCTGACGTTTAAGAGTTTAAGAGTGGACTTGGGTAGAAGAAAGACGATGGCTGGAAGATCTGTTCACTGCTTGCTTGCTTCAAGAGCCAAAAAGCTGAGGGACGTTCGCATGCACACATCATTGCTAAATGGCTGCTAGCTTCGCGATGACCATAAACAAACACAGCCAGAAGCATTGGGTGGCCACCTACAGTGGTGGCCAGCTTGCCCTGCAGCGGCATGGAGCCCCAGCGTGAAACCTGAAGACTTTAACACGGCCTCCACACACATCTTGCAAGTCCCTGGCTTCATTCCGGGGAGCTCGCCAAGTGCGAGAGCCGGAGGTTGCTTCTGCGAAGCCAATGCATGCGCCGGCACGACGGCAGCTCGACGCGGTACGGTCCGCGGAAGCGGCCGCCCCAACAGCTCCATGGACATGCTCAGGACACCGATCTGAAAGCCTAGGCTCCTGCCATGTCCACACACGAACGAAACCAGCACCTACGTCGCCTGAAGTTTCTGCAGCTGAAGCATGTGAGAGAAGATTCTCCTTATGCCATTGGTTCAAGTAACCAGTACAGGCACCCAAACAGTCATCAAAATTGCACTCACATATCATGGAACCTCCCTGAGCGACCATGAGCAAGGGTAAACCTGAAGAGCAAGTTGTGATCAAGTGACATTCAGGCAGAGCTAGGACCTGTAAAGCAGGGGCCATATCCCAGCAGGCACGGCGGCCACATGGCTGAAGTTTCCATGCTCGCAGCAAGTCGGATTGGCTAGTTGGCTATCGGGCTCTGCCCCAGCGTCATTTTGACAAGCTGCAGGGCACGAAACTTTCAGATCAGGTCACGTAGGTACCGGAAGTCGTGGATGCGGGTTCAAGACTGGATGCCTTGGCAACTTCGGAGTGTGCAGGGGCACGCTGCAGACGCAGGTGCATTGCGTCTGTCGTCCATGCTATGGTCCAGTAGAGGCCGCAGTTACCATACAAGATCGCCTTGCTCAGATCAGCTTGGTTTGATTTTTTGCTGCTTCAAGCTCTTACACCAATTGTTCAGGCCTGTTGATTTGTTTATTCGTATCGGAGTGCTGGAAGACTACAGGGTACATTTTAGAATTTCGACTTTGGCAGAGAAAAGCCGGCTGAAAGCAGCACACTGAAAAACAAACGGCCAAAAATGCAAGAAGGACCGGCGGACCCAAACAGCTATCAAGAAGGGCTGGTAGCAAAGTCTAGGTCTAGAGGGTGACTAGGCTTCACAGCACACGCAGAGAAAAGTGGATTCATTGCGGCCTGTGCCCTTACGTCAGAACTGATGTTCAACCTCGACATTGGATGGACCATGTACCTGATTCCACAAAACCGGCGCAGCATGCCGGGCAACGCTGGGGATATCTTAGGATTGTCTCGAGAAGTTTGGCAATGTGAGCTAATTAATCAAAGCAAACACAATGCCTGCCAGCCAAAGACAAGTTTACCAAAATCTCTGCTCTCTGTCACTGCGCCCGCCATCTAAGAGCAGTTATGGCAACTTCAAACACACGGTCAGCAAGATGAATCCTGCATGGTCACTCAACTTCCCCCACTGCCGATGGGTGTACCATAGGCTTTCGTCCCTGCAGCAAACATGTTTTGAGGATTCTTTGGTAATCGTCGAGTTACGCCTTCTCCAGGCGCAAGCGGTTTCTTCTTTGTTGCGCGCTCCTCGGTTGTTTGCTTCTTCGCTCCGCTGCTTGCAAACTCAGATTGCTGCGCATGCCCTGCAGCATTTTCCAAACTCTCACCATGCTTGAGGGCATGCGCTTGGGTCCTGCGCATGCTTCTGCTCTGTACCCTTGCAGGCTTGTTTGCGGAGACTGGAACTGGAGCTGATATTGGAGCTCAGGTCGAGCTGGAACTAGAACTGGATTCCGAGAAGATGCAAAAGTGTTTCCTCCCAATAGCATGTTGATTCTCTCTTTGTCACATCCCAGGTCAAGGCATCTGCTTTCACGAGTGCTTAGTCCCGTCTATGTTACCAACCAGCACTGACACACAGTTTTCTTCCTGCTTGCGTTCTGTTCGGCCTCTATCCTGCTCAGCTTGCTTGTCACACTTTTCACCATCCTGTACGGTCTATTCAGGCGTCTGACCTTGGCGTATATGTTTTTCCCGATTGTCCTCATCTCCTCCCCTGTTTCTCCCAACTCGATTTGTTGGCATTGCCCTCCGTGATTGCGCATAGTTTTTACACGAAATCTTTACGAGCAGAGTTGGGTACTGAATTTTGTTGGTTGAACTAAGTCAAATTATTTTAGGTATGTAAACAACCCCTCAGCCAAAAGGAGGATGTAATCTTTTCATATATTCCTGAAGCACCACGAAAGGTTCCACGTCCAAAAATGCTTGCCTTGCTTACACCACAGCACCTACACCGTTACACCGCACCACCTACACCAGATGAGCTACACCGCCTCTATTGTATTCAATTTTTTTTCTTAGCCTGGAAGGGGTTAGGCAGCGGTAGGCAGGGTGCTGCAGGGACGGTGCGTGTCGAAACGCTCTCCCTGTGGCACCGTGCGCATGTTCAACATCCCCCCCCCCCAACGAGCCGTCCCGCTGTTGTCGGCGTGTGGGAGCGTCGGCGCGTGGAGCGTCTTGCGAATTCTGTTTGTAATCAACCGAATTCTCTTTGGAATCGGCGGCCCTTTCTCGAGCGCTGGCACGTGCAGCGCCCTGAAACTTGTGTTTGGAATTGTCGCACTGCTCGCTGTTTTGGGCGCGTGGCAGCGCTGGTGCTTGGAGAGTCCTGAGACTTCCGTTTGGAATCAAAGGCCCTCTCGCTACTGTATTTAATTTGGGCACGTGGCAGCGCGAGCGCATGGAGCGTCCTAAGACTTCGATTTGGAATCAAAGGCCCTCTCGCTATTTTGGGCGCTGGCGTGTGGAGCGTCCTGAGAATTCTGTTTGGAATCGTTCAAGAGGTGGGCGCGTGGGCGCGCGGATTCTCGCCGTTTTCGACGGGTGGGAACGCTGGCGCGTGGAACGTCCTGAGAATTTTCTTTGGAATCGACGACCTTCTCGCTGTTTTCGGCAGGTGTGAGCGGTGGCGCATGGAGCGTTCCAATGTTTCACTTTGGGGTTGGTAGCAGAGCTGCTTCAAGCTGAAGCGGTTGTGCTGAGATGCCTTCTAGCAGAAAATTAGCCAGACACGCGACCTAGGGAGAGCGCTCGCCGTGGCGCCTACATCGCATCAACACCACACCAGCACCTACACAACACCTACATCACACCACCTACATCACACCACCTACACTGCAGCGCAGCACCTAGAACACGGCCAAATACGCGTCTGTTGCAAACATCGAACTGATTACCTTCAGGATAATCAGGTCTAGTTGGATACCATACGATCCCCCAAATGAAATACTACTCAGTCGGCTTCGGCAGCATTCTTGATGTGTGATGCCTCCAATGATGTTGGATGTATACGATATGTTCTCAGTGGAAACTCGTCCTCTTTAATGTTTTGAATGGTCTCTCTTCAGATTACGTAGCATTCTGATAAAGGGTTGTTTCAAATTGGCACGATACTAGATATAGCTTTCAAGAAGGCAGGCGGCCCGGCAAACAAATAGCTTGCATTTTTGTGCACGAGCTGTTTCTGCTTGTAAGATCCTGATGTTGACACATGAACAATGAAGCTGCTGGTGGTCCCAAGGTGTCGATACGCGAAAACCTCCGAAAATCTCAGTTTTTGAGCTTGACACATCCAAAATGTGAATTGTCAGAGGACCCAACATGTTGGAAGGGAAATCGCGCTGTTGAGCTCTCCGGAACAAGCAGTCGTCCATAGAAACGATGCTTTCTCCACAAGATTGTGACTTTTGCGCATTAACATCTTCGTCGACATCAAAAATGTCAACAATCCCAGGGATCCCGGGAGTCGCCGTTGCTACCTGCATCTGTCATCGTTTTTGGATGTAGACATTTCATCACGTCAAAGAATGCCACGAATCACAGGGATTGCCAAAGAGGGATTTGCATGGATTTGCCATGCTTGCAACTGTCGCCGTTCTTGAAGGTTGACATCCTAGTTGCATGTCAAAAGCGTTAGCAGGCACTGGAATTTGATCAGCAGTCACGTGGATTGGGGCGGGGGGTGGCCATCCTCACCTTTCCACGTGTTTCTCAGTAAGCTTAACTGAAAGTTCACCGGAAACAGTAACAAAAACTGTGATATGCATAGATGTCTTACGAAATTGCGTCGGATGTAACACTGGAAAAGGTACTGCTTAACATGGCAAACGTCCACCCATCAGGACTCTAGTGGATCCGTGGTGGCTTGCCTTTTTTTCCACGGCACATATGAGCCAAGGAATCACATCAGCTGGAGGGCAAAGTTATGTGCACCATGAGATCAAAGCCAATGCCAGGGCTAGGCCCTGAACCTCCTCCTGTCCTGCTTCTTTCACGGGTGGTGTGGAGAGGACCAGAATGCTGTGTGAAATTGACCCCAAAATTTGTTCCCCTGCAACCCCTGTCCCGAGCCCTTTTGTACAGTTGCGGCTTCCGTTTCGGAATGCCTGGCCTACTCAACCACCTTCTTTACGAACCTCGTGTGGACACATCTGCCTTTCCAGTGGCTGCCACTGTCTCGTGTACTGTCATCTTTGTCAACACGAAATAGGATGCTTGCTCCCAGCAGAAGCGGCTTGTACAATGTCAGAGATCGCAGACACACCCACAAGGTCTAAGCCCCGGGTTCTTGCGTGCTTTGCCAAGCGGTATCCTGTTGGTGGCGGCCTGGCTGCCCTTTATACAAGAAATAGGACAAAATAGAACATTCTGCATTTAGTGCAATTGCCCTGCTCCGGTCGGTCTCCAGGGTTCAGGTGTTGGGGATCAGATCAACCATTTTCTCCCCATCTTTCTTGGTCTCTTTCTCGCTGGGTACCGGCATACAAACTGACTCCTTTGCAAAGCCGGAGCTAGTGGAGCAGTGGAGCTAGTAGAAAGCCTAGCACCAAACATGAATGCAGGTTGAGGAGCACAAGATTGGCGCGGTATGTGCCAATCTCTGGCTGGATGATGAGTGCCTGTCAGCTCTTTGCAGAAGGCACCTCCTCACTTGCAAACTTTGTAGGAGCCTCTCGCGGCTGTCTGGCCTGTGAAGGTTTCCAAGCCCTACAGCAGGGCAGCACAGCAACGTGCTTGGCTCTGTCTTTCATCACCTCGAAGAGGTCATCAGCAAACCACGCGGGGCAGCTAATCGCAGGCTGTTGCGAGGCTCCTTGATGCCCTAGGCAAGCCGGGTCAGGGACTGGTCAGGGTGCGTTTAGCGCTTTGCCGTGCTTCAGGCCCCAGACTGGAACAGCCAAGAGCTGCTCGCCGGCCAGGTTGCATTTTTTCAAAGTGTCCATGGCTCCCATGGGAATGCCTCCAGGTGCAATAGTGCAGCCCCAGAAAAGTCAACAGTTGCAGCGGCGGCAAATACTCCTCGCCTCTATAGATGAACCGAACTTCAACGTCGTCACGAGACTTTGGAAGCATGGGCTCCCGGTAGGGCTTTGCAAATGTCTTGGCTTCCTCAGCTCACTGCCAGGTGGAAGCAAAGCAAACAAATGCAACGGACAACTCTGTCAGATGCTCGCGTGACAACCAAATTCTGCTGTGGACTCAACCTCTTACCATCAGGCCTGACCGAGATGTCCAAAATGCTTTGCTCATCCCAGCTTCAACGAGACTGCGGCGGATGTCTTCAGGCCCGGCATCTTCGCTTAGTTGCAGCTCGTACTGGCCCTGAAAAGATTGGCAGCGCCAAGCCATCTGATCCATCTAGCTTCATTGCTCAAGCCGGAACAATCATGGCGGTTGTTCCTTCCGCGGGGTGACCACAGTTATGCGCACCATTCCCTGAAAAAATGTCTGATCTGAGGATACAAATGTGCCCAATGCCAAAGCGAGGGGGTCCTCTGGAGGCTGCATCGGCCTCGCCAGTAGTGGCGGACGCGTTGGCGGCAGAAGTCCCGCACTGTGCTGATTTGCACAGGCCTGGTGAGAGTGAATATTTCAACTAATGCAACAGGTATGTTGATAAATCTCTACGACAGCTTGCTGGTACTCGTTAACTACAAGAATAGAATACGGTTCCCTGGAAAAATCTTTGCCTTGCCTGCTGTGTCAATGTTTGGGCCAAACGTTGAACAGCGGTAGCCTGCGACACGTGAGTCCAAACTGTTCGGCTGCCCTGCTCTTATCTGAAGACCCCAGTACTGGGCTCAAAACATCTTGCTTTGCCCGATGCCACTTGCCAGCGCAACCATCCGACATGACTGTAAAGGGTGCTTTGCTTGCAGGCTTGTGCCCCATTGCTGACAGCTGCTGATAACTTGTCTCTGGCCTTCCAGGATGTGAAATCTGGGCACTTCCTTTAAAAAAGAAGGCCTTGCATTACGTGGGCCCTGTGGCTACTTCCTCATCTTGGTCTTGAAAGACCCACAAAAACTTCACCTTGTGCGAGCAGAACGCTTCGGAAATGCCGTTGTGCATTTGGTTGCACCGCAAGCCATGTCACAATGCCTGACGTGCGGCAGGCAGGACGCTGGCTCCTCCAAGCCACGCTTCTCAGACTAGATTAGGGCAGTAAGGGTACCTGATGACCGATGCTTTTGCTGGTGAATCCTGTCTAGCTTCACCACTGTTTTGTTGAGAGATGACTGAGCAGCACCACACCACAAAGCATCATCGTCAGCCCTTCGTCACAATATGAAGCTGGCATGCAGCAGCGTTGTCATCTATGTTTCAATCAAGGAGGAACCCGTGCTGCCACAGCACCATCCCCTTTCCCATTACTATTTCCAAGACTAACACTGTCCCCAATGCGAAATCATGCTCTTGACCTCGTGTTAGTTGCGCCCGCGGGCTTCACGGTCTACCGCGGACCTCACGACTGCTCCACATCGTCCAAGTCCTGTTGGACAAGCTGTCAACACATGAACACAATCCTCTGAGTCCACGCTGAAATTGAAGAACAATACTTCAGATCTGTCAAGCCCAGCTGCTGTTGCGAAACGCCTGGCAAATTCCAATCCAGAACCCTTCCATTCTTCGTGCGTTTCAGCTTGCCTCTTGGTGCTGAGCAGCGACGAAATTAGAAAGCCACGCTTCTTTGGCACGATGACTTCCTCACCAGTGACACACAGTGACCGCGAACACTTTGCATCAACCTGCCCTAGGTCCTCCTCTTCAGGTAACGCATCCTGCACTAGGCAAAGGCTGCAATATTTTCAGGCCGTGATGATATGATGACTATGGTTAAGAGTATGGTTATGATTGCAGTCGTACTTAATGATGACTATATCGACGAATCTCCCTAATCAATCACTACTTGAGAGTGAACCGCCGTATGGTGGATTTTCATGCCTACTTCGTGGTTGTAGCATTGTAGCAGATCTTGTCAAGATTTTCCGCCCCGCCTGCCTGGCAGCCATGTTATGGTTGCTTGGCATCAGTCCTTCTTGAGTTCACGGCTTTTCAACGTTCATGATTTGGAGCTTGCTGTGTATCACACCAGCTTGGAGTGAAGGATTCCCAAGCATCTTGTTTCCAAGGAGGGCTGGCTAAGCATTAGTCCTCCACGATGCTTTTGTTTATGCTTGACGTTCGGTTGGCTAGCCACGGGTGTGGGTGCAGCATGGAGACCAAGGCCGTACCAAAAAAACGGATACATGTGCAGAGGTCTTGACAGCATTCAATCTGGCAAGGTTCACAGCTCGCGCGACATGATTGCGGTTCGAGTCAGTTGCGACCCCGCTTGGGATGGCTGACCCGGTTTAAACTGTTTTAAACTTCAAGGCTGGTTTTTTTTTTATCTCCAGGGTAAGGTTTCAGGATTCGGGCGTAGCATCCCACGCTCCAAGTTCCGCTAGCGCCGCGCTTGTAAAGTTTTGACAACACCCGCGATAAGCACATGTGCGGTGCTTTTGTCGCACCATGCTTTGCGAACGATCCTCGGAGACGGTGTTCAATGAAAATGTTCCACAACCCTGAAACACATACAAGTCAGGGTAGAAGACCACACGCTCACAGAGAAGGCCTGGACATGGCAGAGAAGGAAGTAAAACTTCGCACAACGCATGTAACAAAATTGCGAAAAATCAGAAGACCGACACTGCGCATTCCTGATGCTGTACAAAACGAGGAAACGAAAGCATGGCGCAACAACGCTGTCACGTTGGCATGCGGACCCCTTTCAGCAGACCCTGCAAATGTCAATTGCATGCATGCCCACCTCTCCAGCATCTTCAACCGGCGCCAAACCTGCAAAACATAAGCACCGAACAAACGAGTTTTGACAACAATTGCAGAAGCAGTATTTACCATCACGCTAACACCGCCCAAAAAGCGTAACTGCTGCTAGCTGTAGAAATTTGTTGCCAGCAGTCCCACAAGTGTCGAGAAAGCACGGAGCATGTTGATTGTTGATTGCAAGTTAGAAGGCAAGAGCACCTTTGCTACGTGTGCGAAAGAAACTCCGTTTGCCTTGCGAAGCGTGTAAACCTTGGTGATCACACAGGCAGGCTGTTCCTGTCCCAAATCTCACTTGCACTGGTGCATGCTACTGCTTGTCTTGACATACTATTACCCCTGACATGTGGGCACGAAGAAGTTGAGCGAGCCTTGCTTATTGCCAGCTTTGGTGAGCCCATCAACTATAGCAGCTAGCATAGCCAATCCATTCACTCAGCGAACAATCGTAAGCTACCGTAGCCCTAGCCGGCACAGGATGAACAAAGCTCGTGTAAGGACGACAAGTTCTTTGTCATGGCGTCATAGACTCCTCTCGCGTAAGACCAGGCCTCCACAAGTCATGTTCGCCAGGTCCTCACATCGAAGAGCTTACCACAAACCACTTGGCCACCACAGAACTTCCAACCACGGAGCTCGCAGCAAGAACACCATGCCCCCGCCAACCCGTTATGACTTGCACTTTGCTCCCATGACTTCGGAGGCTCTCTTTGTGAGCTTTGGTCGACCTCCATGCCACCAAAGCCAAGTGCCATCCCGAATGTCCTTCGGACGACTTGCAGGGCCTGTTTGGCTTGCGACGCGTCACTCCAAAACACACTTGCGCCCGCGGGGGGGGACGAAAGCTTTCAAGCAGGGTGCATACTAGCACGTGCATTTTTTCATGAAGCGGCGGAGAGCGCACAGCCTCCGCGTGCCCAAGAACGGCTTCCAACGTGCCCAAAAACCTGCCATCTGGCGTCCCAAACGGCCGCCACGGCACCCGAAACCGCACCCCGAAACCGCATCGAGACAGACCCCTTGTCACCCCCGTTTCCGAG